GCCAGCTGCGCCCTTAGCCGCTCTTGGCACCTCGCCGACCCACTCCTTGAACGCATCGTAGTTGGTGGTATCCTCGTCCTGTGGTGGGGGGGGCAGCAACATCCAGTGCTTACGTTCAAGGTAAAATATCAGGGTAAGACCCAACAAGCTGCCCTGACATTGAAAGTTGACATAACCCATCAGCACCCCTCGACCTTGTTAAACATGCTCCCCAGGTTCCAAACTGCTAGGTTTTCTACCTGGGCAACGCCCGCCTCGCCCTGCCTGGGACCCGTGCCGGTGTCCCCCCCTGCGGTTGCTGCTGCTGCGACGCCTGCTGTGCGGCCGCCACCTGTGCCACCATCCACGGCATGCGTGCCCATGGCAGCAGCCTCTCCGCCACCCACCGCCTGTTCGTGGTCCCCAGCGGCTGCTCTCGCTGCTGCACCATCACCGTCGTTAGCCACAGTATCCACTGCCTCAGCTCCCACTGCGGCTGCCACAGCACCGTGGTCTGCAGTGATAGTGGACGGTCGCAGGATCTTGTCCAAGACCTTCTTCTGAAACTGCGTCATGAAGTTGCTGGTGGCGGTCGCCTTGCCAGGCGCGGGCCCGCCGATGGCCAGGCCCTCCTGGCTGATCCTGAACAGCCTTTGAAGTAATACATTGCATTCTTCTCATTGAACATGCTAGCTGATATCATGTTACCTCCCAGCTCAAAACTAAGCGGTATCACGTTTAGGCTCTGATGTTCATAGGAATCCCCTAAAGCACACCGGAGTTCAATACTTCCGGGAAATTCTTGTTCCATTTTCCAGCTTATGGAACTATAGAGTTGCACTTGTTCAGGTCAAGACGGCGCGGAAGCTATTGGTCCGTCCTGTATCCTAGAGTCGTGGCTAGTGTAAACTGTATCAGGTATAACAATGGAATACAAGAACATAGACAGCGAGGCAGGTCATGATAAGACTTGGCTGATGACATGCAAGTATACAAGTACGGCGCCCATACTAGAATACCGCCAGCTCGCCATCAGTACTATCTCTGCGAGGTTCGCGTGGACCTTCGTTTCTTTTCGCTGTTCGATCTGTTCTGTGTATCCCTGCGAGTGGCCCACCGGCACGCTCATTGAGGGGCTTCTGTGGGTAGAGGCTGCTTCGTTAACATTCGGCCCCGTCTACCCCAAGGTGTTTTCCCGCCCTGGGTACAAGGAGCTACTGGCGGCTGACCTCACAGGGCCCCCCGTCTTGTAGAGGGCCATACACAAGCTTGCCTTAAGGCGGCAAATCAGGTGGCCTTGTGATGATGGGGATTGACGATGGAGGGGGCGGGTTCATGTGTGTGTCGCATTAATTCAGAGTACCGGCTGCCAGGGCTGATTAGGGTGAATACCCAATGGGAGGCTTATTGTCTTAAACCCTTTGTGTGGTCTGGGTGGTTCCAAAAGGGTTACAAGGCAGCCGGCTCATACCGGCACAAGTCTCAAGGATGGTTGCAGAAGGATACACTGTATCCGCTCGACGACTGCATGCTCGGAGGGGAATGTGCTGTCAGTAGAGAAGCTGGTGGCATGGGTGGAGAAGAAACACATGGAAGCGAAGGCATGGGCGACAATGATGGCTGACATGTGTGTTAATTCGGTCACAATTGTAACCCTTTTGGAACAACCGTGTTTGTTATAGGGGATGGCGCATCTGGGCCACTCCTTTGAAACGTGGGTGCCGTCCACTTTGTGACCAGCAAGCACACATCAAGTGAACTGGACAGTCAGCAACCAGTCGTACTAGTCCCACCGATACTGCTGTGGCGGTGTCTGCCTCGCACCTTACACTGACGGCACTCTTTCCAACAATGCAGAATGTGAAGCCATTTGAGTACTGAACCGAAACTCCATACGGGCATATGGACTGCCAGTGTGCCTTTACGCATATACGCCTGCATATGTATGTACATGCGTGCCATCTGTTGCACATGTGCATGGGATAACTTTCGTAGTCATTCGTTGTCAACCAGACAAGGGTGCATCCATCGGCCTCATTGCTGCGGTTGCTCAGCGGTTGGTGAAGTGTGTGTATGGCATGAAGTACATCAGCCCCTTTCGGTCCCCCTCCGGGGTGGCTGTGCAGAACTTGCCCTTCAGCTCACTTAGCGGCAGCCCTAGGTCCTGCCACATCTCCCACTGGCTGCCTGCCCTCGCTGTCTGGGCGGCCGCCATGTTGACCACCACCAGCCCCTCGCTGAACACCTGTCCCGAGTACACATCTGCGACAGTGAATCGGACATTCTTCTGCGGGCAGGTGGACGAAGTGCTTGAGGTAGGCCGCATACGTCCGAGTCTCGCTGCCGACTTCTGCCTGGTAGCATGCCCAGCAGGAGATCCGCTGCTGCTGGCGCCCATACTCAGCCCCGAAGTACTGCTCCTCGTCGAGTGCCTCGGCACGCAATAAGGAGCGGGCCTTGGGACAGTCAGGTGGTGTAGACATGAGAGCCCTATCCAGGCGGTCCGTGTCCAGTTCGTAGCTCGCACTGGGACCCAATGTCCAGGAAGCCACATCCTCGAATGCCAGGGCATACCAGTGCACTAGGCTCGCCATGGCTGCCCGGACTTGTGCCACTCGTTCTGGACTCGGGTAGACCATGTGGCCTCGTCCAAGCAGGTAACCGTTGGCTCCTGGTTTATCAAACCAGGCAGCCTCGGTGTTCACTGCGCGCCGTGCCAACATCCTCTCAAGCTGCTGGTTGGTCGTGTGTTTGGCCCCGGTCCCGGGGTCTGCCTCGGTGAGCGACTCGGAGGCCCGCATCAGGCACAGCCACTGCGTGTAGTGCTTCTCGGGTGCCTGTGACACCATCCTTCCGCCTTGCGTCTTCATTTGCTGCATCATGCGTTCCACCGGCAGGTCAGAGTACAGCCAGCATACGCAGATATGCAGGTTGACCGTGAACATGTAGCCCGGCACCTCCAACTCCTCCAGCCTGGTCGTGTAAGCTCTGAGCTTGCATGCAGCCGCCTTGGCTGCCACCAGGAACTGCTCACGGGTCTCATCGGGGGGCCGCGGCCAGAAGTAGTGCGTGACCGTGCTGCACAGGCTCCAACACAGGGCCCACAAGGCCTCGGGCAGCACGTCCCCCTTGAAGATGTAGCTGGAGAACGTCTCAACGAAGTGCAGCCAGTCCTCCATGCGGTAGCTCTTGCTGCATGGGTGGAGGGGGGCAGTGTGGTGAGCAACCGTGTAACTAGAAGAAGTACATTACATAGGTAGAGTAGCAAACTCTCTGACAGACGAAGGTGTTTTTTCCAGGCAAGCCCCTGGTCGTATTTGCTTTCTCGGCTATTAGCGAACCCCGTGTGTGGCCGGCTGCCCAGTGCTGGCCGTGCTCATTGGTACTGCATGATGCATTTGTACCGCCGCCCGAAGTCCGAAGTCACGACCAGGAACTGGCCGCGGGCCGCGACCCGCTGGCGTGCTTCACGAGACATGACCAGCTTGGCATCTGGGTCTGCTGGCTTGATGTCTTTGAGCGACCTCAGCGTGTAGTCCACAAAGTCGCTGACCACTCCGAACAGCAGGGCATGGCCGGTGGAGACGGTGAAGAGGCACGACAGGTCGACGTACGGCAGGGCCGCAAAGGCAGTCAGGCCCTTGCACCCAGTCTGGAGCGCCGCCTCATCGAACTGCTTCTGCGTGATCTTGTGTGGAGTCCCAAGGTGGAGCATCCTGTACATCGCCTGCATGACACTGCCCGCGCTGACGAAATGCCGATGGGTCTTCTTGAGAGCCCGGGCGCCGACCTTCAGGCTCTTGCCTGCATTCCGCTTTACGAAGTGCTGGCTGACTGCTTGGGTGTAGCCACGGAAGCGCACGGTGGCCCCGCACCCGACATTGGCCTCCGTGTGTGCCTCGAATAGGCACCACATGCAGCTGCCGACACGACTGTTCTGGTCTCGTAGCTGCTGGTGGGCCGGTTCTGTCGGTGGGAACGGCTGGAATAAAAGCCTGCCGCGGTCCAGGTGTTGGACGGGCGGCTCATGACTGCCATTTCAGGGGCTGGGGACAGCAGGGTGCGGAGCTTGGTATGGAAGAGGGCAGCTCTGCCTTTTGGACACCTAAGTGTAAGCTCCAAGACCCTCTTATCCTGTTTCCCGCCCCACCGGTTATTATTCGGTTTATAGGAGACCCAAGCCCAGAGGCCTATGCTAACCAGGTCGACTGAGAGCATGCAGGGAACGGCAAGGGACGATGACAGGAAACCTGACGTGGGTTACCCGGCAGACACTCAGGATGGCGACGGAAGGGATCCGACCGAGTTGCTGTCGTTGGAAGATGACCCTTGCGAAGACGACCAGTGGGTGAGCCACCAGCCGACAGGGCGGAAATCCAGCGGCGTAGGACTAGCACCAGCCTGGGAAGCGAGTGCCCGCAATGCTGGGGGCAGGGAGGCACTCCAGCTGCTACAGGAAGCCTGGCAGAGGTTGCAGCGGCTGGGGCAACAGGACGCGGTAGATCTGCGGGATGAACAGGAGTTTCTCGAAGAGGTCGTCTGTTTGCTCCCAGATCCTGAAGACTTCCAACCAGGAAGGATACGTCTACATGTTGCAGTGTGGCGAGTGTTCTTTCAGGCAGCTAACGAAGGCCGGCCCCTCACGGACAAACAGAAACGGTGGCTGGGATACCTGCAGGGCGGAATTCAGCTGGAGTGGGTGCCGTGCGACTACCCAGGGCAAGAACTAGCCCCGGAGCGGGGATGCAAGCTAGCTATAGTGCGGGAAATGCTGCGGGTCGCGGTGCCGGATTGTGACCTAGACTTTATCATGGCGGGTGACCGGCCGCGAGCCGTGCAGTTTCCTAACCATCGCAGCGCGACTCAGCACAGTGAGTTTGTTACAGCCGAATTGAGAAAGGCCCTTGACCGAGGGGTGATACGGAAATGGCCAGCAGACGCGCCCCCCCNCACGGTTATCAATGGCTTGCGGGTAGTGGAAAAAGACGGCAAGCTGCGCCTCTGTATTAATCCGATGTATATTAACTGTTTCTTGAAGTACCGGCCTGTGAAGTACGAACGACTGGCAGATGTACCTAGCTACCTCCTACCGGAAGATTGGCTGTACACCACGGACCACAAGAGCGGGTACTGGCAGCTATCACTCCACGAACGGGAGCACACATATCTGGCTATGCGGTGGTGGGGGCAGACGCTTTTTTGGCCACACCTGCCGTTCGGCCTGGCGCCGGCCTGCCACTTGTACACAAGCATGAAGCTCGAGGTTTTCCAGCCTTTACGGCAGCTAGGGGTCCGCATGTCTTTCCTGATAGACGACCAGATGGGTGCCGCGGGGTCGAAGGCCGCGGCACAGTACGAGTGTGGGGTGGTGGTACGGCTGCTGGCGGCCCTAGGCTTCACCCTCAGCCTGTCCAAGTGCCAGCTGATCCCAAGAAGGCGAGTCTGTTTCTTGGGGATGGAGGTGGATGCGGAGGCGCAAGCATTCAGAGTACCAGACGACAAGCTAGCTAGATTCCGTACGCTGCTCACACAGCTCGAAGGCAAACGGCTAACAGCGCGGCAGGTGGCGCAGGTGGCCGGCAAAATCATCGCCATGACGCCCGCCGTCACCACGGCACCCCTGTATGCGTGGATGGTGTGGTGTGTAGCCCGGGGCGTGGCGTGGGATGAAGAGGTTTGGGACCTGGCGGAGGTGCTACACCAGGCAGGCTTGTTTATGGAGCTGCTGGGCAGGCGCAACGGGACAGCCACCTGGCGGAAAGGACCAGCCCTACGACTGACGACGGAACTAGTCGGGGACGCCTCAGACAGGGCCTTCGCAGCCTTCTTACCTGGAGAAGAACTGGGCGCCAACAGCCGCATGCTTGTGCCCTTCAAAGCTCAGGAAACCCAGCGGCTGCAGCGGAATGACTTTAGCAGCACAGAAAGAGAACTGCGGGCGCTGCTGTACAGCTTGCACTGGTTGCGAGAGCAGGCACCGAACCTGTTGTACGGCCGGACAGTGCAATACCAGACGGACAGCCAACCGGCGGAATTCTGCATGGTTGGGATGAAAGGCAACGCCGCTTGCCTGCCCATAGTGGCGGAGATCCATCGCCTCTGCGCGGATACGGACACAGACATTTCAGTGGTGTGGTACCCACGCAGCCGGGAACAGCAGCAGCAGGCAGACGCGCTCAGCAAATACGAAGATGGATCACAGTGGCGAAGTATAAGCACTGGATGGGGCTGCCCTTTTCGGGAGCCGCAGCCGTCATGTGGCCAACACATGCTAAGGTTTTCATTCCTCGTTTAGCATATAGTAAGGTAATGCAGTTTCGTTTATGTTGCTGGGCTTTGGAGGCAAACAGAGCATGAAGGGGCAAGTACCACGTCCCCAGGGGGCAGCGGTTTTGCCACTGTTGTGGTACTAATAGCCGAATTGAGGATGTGAACCCCTGTTATTGGAATGCCCAGCCTATAATGATATTCGTGCTGAAGAAGGATTCGATCATCAACAGAGCATGTTGGAGGCCATGCAATGGGAACCCGCACGTCTGGCGAGGAAATTGGAACGTATGTGGGCTCACCGAAACTCAATTACCCCCTTTAGACGCTAGTCTGGGCTGATGTGCGGTGTTTTCCTTTACTCCGTGGCTTTTAGGTGTTGTAGTATTACCCTTGGGCCCTCGGCTCGTATGGGTAATCTTACAGGTATGGGGTCACGCACCCCCAACCATGTAACACACACACACACATAACACGTCTTCGTCGCAATTAAGCCCGTGAAATTTTACGGGTGCTGTGCATTACGGCTTGGGGGATTACGGGTCAAGACCTTGTGATTACGGGTAATGTAACCTGTGGATGACTTCCAGCACGGGCAACCAACAAAATGTCACCTGTGTTATTCCTTATAAAAGGAATGCTTTGGCAACTTAAAAATAAGCATGTGTACAAATTTTCTTGGCCGGTAATTACATGTGAAGACCACGTGATTACGGGTAAACATGAATGGTTTTATTTCATAAGAATGAGACTTAAGAATGGGTGCCATACTTAGCAAACCCTATGGTAAGAATGGTTAAAACCCGCCAAAGAGCAGCTAAGTATGCTTTAGGCAAAGAATCAATAAGTTGGCCTAAGAATGTATAAGAACACCCAAAGAACGAAAAGAATACATAAGACTGCTGACCCTAAAGAATGGTAAAGAATCGTAGAGAATGGTAAAGATGGTTTTATTTCTTAAGAATGAGACTTAAGAATGGGTGCCATACTTAGCAAACCTATGGTAAGAATGGTTAAAACCGGCCAGAGAGCAGCTAAGTATGCTTTAGAGAAAGAATCACTAAGTACGTATAAGAACACCCCAAAGAATGGAAGAGAATACATAAGACTGCTGGGACCTGAAGAATGCTAAAGAATTTGAAAGAACGGTTTTAAGATAAACGGAGGTCATACGAACGTTCTTAGAACGTTCTTAGAACGATGTAAGAACATTCTACTGATTATTCGATTTTATCAATTTGGCTGGGCTAAGAACGACTTAAGAACGTTCTTAACCCCCCTCCGCGTTCGTAGGGGTGACTGCTGAATGGTATGGGAAATAGACGATCCTAAATATATCTAGCTACAGACTACAGTCTTTCAATATTAATATTAATAATTACGATATTGTAAATATCACTCTGGGAACCGGCCTCCCTTCGATTTATCGGGAATCCCTTCATTTGGTGTTCATTCCTTGTTCATTCTGTGATCATTTCGGAATGAAGGGCTGAGGGTCCTTCAGAACATATCGATCGCGAAGCAGTTCAGCTGAAGTGGTCGCTTTGCACGGATTCCTTTACAGAGGCCTTGTGATGTCGTCATGCCAGCATTGTTTTTAGTGAGAACATGACTTCGCATGATGGCGCATAGTGTTTTGGAGCTACGTTCGGCAAAACGAGTACAAACACACAAAGCATCTGTTCTCCAGCCTGGCTGGCTGTTGTAGATGTAAAATATTAATAAAGATGGCTCCTCCAGTTAAAACATATCTGCGTTACCTCTGCGGCGGTCAACTGTATGCGTTGTGGGGTGTGTTCCCCGTACCTGCAAACCGCCGAGGGCTCAAGGGCTGCCAGACCGCATCTAAGCACCATCCTACCTCGCACTTCGGACAAAGCAAGTGATAAAGCAATTGATAACGACCATATATGTTGCGGTGGACCATATATGTTCCAGTATCCTTGCCAGACGTTCAGATTCCCACTTCATAGCGTCCTTCATATGCTCGAAGCGTGGGAAATCCATGTCTCATCTGATTTTGTCATACACCGGACAGTCCAGCATAGTGTTTGTGTGTGTGTGTGTGTGTGTGTGTGTGTGTGTGTGTGTGTGTGTGTGTGTTACATGGTTGGGGGCGCGTGACCCCATACCTGTAAGACTACCCATACGAGCCGAAGGCCCAAGCAAAATGTGCTTCTCATCTTCAATATGGCTATCAGTGCCGCAGCAGGGGCATACCGGGGCTCCTCCGGGATCCCTAGGTATATAACGCTGTCCCCTTGCGTGCTCTGTTAGCCACCAATGCCGAACAGCAAAGCCTAAACTGCACGAGCTTGCGATTCCCTGAACGCGGGATAAATGTTGTGATATGCGGGAGCACCTCCTTCCTGCCCGCTTGTTCGGCCGCTTCCAATGCTTATACTTCGCGATGTGAATTCCTGGTTGCTTGCCATCTGACGGGTACACGTTTGGCTGGACATCTAGACGCGATTATGACCGAGGCCCCACCCATGGCGCTAGCCAGCTGGTTCCTCTCGGAGGTCTGGGAGACCCGGCACGTTGCTCTAAGGCGCTGCGTGCTCAAGCGGACGAGGGAGGACGATGATGGTCCACCACGTAACCGAACTAAAAACGATTTACCGTCCATGGCCCCCCCGGCTTTTACGGACACCCCAGCATTCGTGCGTAACTTCTAACTTGTAACCTAACGAGATGATCGTTGGAGGCAGTGCGAAATTGCTGCAACACAACGCCGGGTACTGTGTATGGTGAAACTGAGGATTGCTTTCTCCGGAGGAAGCAATCCGATCCGACTGACCCAGATATGGGTAGAGATGCACCACCTCATGGTAAAGCTTAGCACAGCAGTAAATTTGGGGCGCCGCAGGTGGAGGCTGTGGTGGCGGCAGTTGAGCCGCCATTCGAGTTGCTGCAGGCGTGCAGTGGCAGCAGTTGGGCTGCCAACTAGGGAACATCTGGAGAAACTCAAAGTGCTGCTGGCTACAGAGTTTGGTTTCATCCTGAAGGTTGATGATGAGGGAAATGTTACCTCTGCATATTGCAAATGTTACCATTACCATTACATAAGTCCTGCAGCAGTGTTCCCACCAGCTAGATGCTATTGTCGGCATACTACCACCAAATTTAAAGCGAGGCAGCACGTCATGCGTAAGAACCTCTTCATAACTTACGAAACAAACGAGCTTTATGCTAGTAACGCAGCGAGCGGGCGCACATGCGCGACATGCATTGAAAGCAGGACGGACTACGATGTCGTCTATAGCGCCGCTAAGGGAGCGCGCGCTCCCTCTATTATGTCGTAAGGAAGGAAGCAAGCTACCATAAAGTTGGGCAATTTACTTGCGCAAACATACATGCATTCTTACACACCCGCATATGACTTATATCTTGGAGCTCAATAAGTGAAAACAACGTTGCGTAGCAACCTCCGGGCGCATGTCTAACAAGTTCACTCTGTACCAGATAGACCCAGATTAATCGTTCTTGCGTGTCCGTATATACACACACACACACACACACACACACACACACGCGCACAAACACACGCACACACGCACACGCACACATGGTCAACAACACGCACGCAGTGGGTAAACCTCAACGGGTTCGCATGCATCGTATCACAGCCGACGCGCTCACCCGACTAACCTCTCATCAGCCCGCACCACAGTGATGGATATGTTCGACAGCAGTGAAACGCATCCTTGAAGAAATTGACCCGTCATGGGCGCTAACCATCCCGGACCCACATCAACTATGTAATTTGTTTATTATATCCATCTAGCTAAGTAGGTTGGAATTCCATCATGCAACTGGGCCACAGAAAAAATAACAAAGGAAAATAGCCTGCCATGGCCAGCTAGTAGTAATAAATGAATCCCGCCAGCTAGCGCAGCCTCATGTATTGTTCGCTACACAGGCGCAAAACATATGCAACAGTACTACTAGTAGTACGGCATGCATGCCTAGAGCAAGTCCAAATAAAGTACGCAATAAATGAATATTGTTTGCGTCAGCGATCAGCCACACTGTTTATCCGCCGCCGTACATAGCACATACATCGATCTGAACGACTGACCTGCTTATCCTCGCGGAAGCCGCGGTTGAATACGTGCCGGCGGCTTAAGCGACCCTCAGTACAGTACATATGAGGCACCGAACATGCGGATGATGCAGTACCTCTCTTCATACCTGACACAATGGTTGCGGCTGCCTAAGAGCATGGAGGTGCTGACCCATGCGTATAGGCATTGCATGCGACCGGGTGTCAGTCAAAAGAGGTGCACGTGATGGCTAAATTGCTGGTCCTCGTATTCGCTCTAGGGAACAGACAGCCGCTGGGCGGGCTATTGTCAGTCACCACGGTATTCATCGCATACGTCGACCAGGTTGCCGGCATGGAGGCTGTGCAAGATTTGACAGCAATAGCAGCATTCAACATCCACTTCTCCGCCAGCAAGCGCAGGGTGGCCTCCGACGGTTGCTTCTGATCAGGTGCGGCGCTTCCTGCCGAGACGCAAACCCGAAACATATAGCCCTCCGACGTGGCACATTCGCTCCGCACAGCCGTGCTACCGTTGACGCCGCTGGTGGTCAGGACAGCGGTCAGGTCGCGAGAAGCGATTGTAGAATGCGCGCCACAGTCAGCCGGACTTAAGAAAAGCTTTGTGCTGTTGCCGGTTTGATCGGAAACTGTCAATGTTAATTGGGCGCAGACTTCGAAGGCCTTGCATGGCGGCGGTGGCGGCGGTGGCGGCAGCTGCGGCAGCGGCGATGGCCTGCTCAGCGGTGGTGACGGAAGTGGGGGCCTCGTCAGCAACGCAGCCGGCGGTATGTTCTTGTTCTTCGGCGGCGACGACGGCGGTGGCAGACGAGACGCAGCAGCACCTACAGCATGCAGGACTGCAAGCAAGCGATACACAGCAGAACCGGCGCAGGTGGTTTTCTTAGTCGGATGCTGTATGTCACATATAATTATTGGAATCGAAATATGCACTGTACCCGAAGTGCGACGTGCGGCAGGGCGGAGCGCTCGTGCGTAAGGTCGAATAAAGCAATGTTGTTAACTTAGCTAGCTGCTGCGATATGCCGGTTTGTCATACTGAAATCAGGTAATTTGCCGTCAGGCAATTATTAATTGGTTGAAGCTGTTACAAAGCTTGGTAGGATGTTTGTTGAAAACATTGGTGGAATGATTGGAGAATGATCTGGTGCGATGATATAAGTGGTAGATTTATTAGGTAGATCGATAAATTACTTTGTTCAAATTAACCCGGTAGAGTGATTTGGTGCAACGCATGATCCGTTGTTTTGTTTGTCGTCTCACCTGTCCCACACACAAGCAGCAGGAATAGCGCAGGCATCAGACGAATGCGTGTGTTGTTCCTCTGCTTGCTGTTCGGTGGATGCATAGCTCCAAATTAAAAAAATTGCGCCTCTAGAATAAACTGCGAGTTGATCTCCAGCCGCCGTTGCAACCAGTTGTAACCATGCACGCAAGATGTTGTTGGTTCTCCGCTAGCCCGGACAGGTAAGATTACCGTAACGTAGACAGAGATTGATGTACGTGGACTGCTTTGTCCATCGAAGGTTCTAATGAAGACGCTTTTATACTCACCACGGTCACGCATGATCCTTTGGCCTTCCTTTACTTTACCGTACAGCTACCGCCTTCAACGCCGTTTTTGGAAGCCGACAGACAAAGGAGTCAGGCAAGGGAAATGGGCAGGTACGTCATATGTCCACTACCTTGCAATGTATTGACGTGAAGAATTACCGGGAATTGATCACACCACCCGGCCGTCATCTGTACACGGTCCGCTGCCTGCTCAGAGATGTAAGTCCACTCACATAGCCCCCCTGAAAAATCCTTTCTTTTACTTTAAACAGGCGACTGAATAACTATACATGTTACTTTGCAACTGTATAGCGGCACGTGAGGTAAGTGTACGCAGCAGGCAGCTCATAAGAACGTACCGCCGTCGTGATCAGAGCAGTACTCCCGCCTCAAGTTGGAGGAAACGTTTTGGAGACAAACATTAATCTGTCAATCTGAACCTGGCTGGGTCGGTCGATAGTATTGCAAAGCGAAGTAAATGAAAACTTCTTTCCAAACAGGCCCTTACGTGCACTGCTACAGGCTGCTGGGTAGTTGCTGCCACGATGGTACATCGCCAGCAGTTGATGAGCAGCTGTTGAGTCCGGGCGGTTACTATCGTCTATAGTACATAATTATGCTAGATGCATACCCCACCACCCCACCGTCGAGTACCTTCCGCCCCTAACAACGGGGGCATGTGTGTCATTGTCAACGTAAGATCCGTTAAACATCAAGGTGCGTGGCCAGCCATATGTACAGCTAGTCTGGGCTGATGTGCGGTGTTTCCTGTTCTCCGTGGCTTTTAGGCGTATAGATATTGCCATTGGGCCTTCGGCTCGTGTGGGTAGTTTTACAGGTACAGTAGTTTTTCACGCACCCCCAACCATGTAACACACGCACATATGTTCAGTGGGGATTTGAGAGCAGCGGGATAAGAATGGACTTGTTGACAATCCATCATACATGTAATGTATGCGAACGTCCCCGGGCTCGTGCAGCTAAGAAGCGGAATGTATGTATGCATGATGAGCGAGTGAATTCCGTAGTTCCTTGCAAGGCGTATTGCGTGCACCGTGTGCAAACATGGTACGGTGTTCGTGTGGCACCACCGAGCGTTATAATACAGCAATGCCAGCTCCAGCCGCCCGCCGTTGCTGCTGTTAACTTATTATAACCATTAATGCAGGAGTTCCTACGTATTTCCCAAACTCTTGTCATTTCCATGCTTTTTCCACTGCTGCCCTTGGCCACAAGTATTGTACTTCATATTATTATTTTGAGTTACCTTATTAACAATAAGGCAATACGCTTCATTCATGCGTCCTGAATCGCTTGTACGCAAGGTAGCGATAACCAGGCAGCAGCAAGTACAGACAGGGAAGAAGCTAAGGGTGCATTTCCAGTGCGGATTAAGGCCAGGGATTAGGGCACGGAAGTCCTTGATACGAGCTTACCACATAGTTTTGTTCCATAAGGGAACCAAAAGTTGAAAAGGCGAGTTGGTTTGCCAACAACTTAGCCGTTTGAGCAAGTATCGATGGAGGACAGAGGGTTAATCCCTGGCCTTAATCCGCACTGGAAATGCACCCTAAGAGGGACGCTTGCATGCATGGTTGGCGGATGGCTTGCTTGTGTTGTGTCTTTTACCTCCGTCTGCTCCTCCGTCGTGGGGAAAATCGCTTTAGTCCCAGCAGGTGTGGCCAGGCAAGTGTGTAGCAGCCAAGCAACCAGCGTATTACCCCAATCCCTCTTTTTCCCCTCGGTAAGAGGTTACCCCTACCCCGGGGTAAGGTTGCCTACCTCCCTTCGTACAAACCCACATGGGTAACCACTTACCCCTACCCTTACCCGCGGGGTAACGCTTAAGGGGGAGTTATCCCCCGTTTTATGCCATAGGGCAGCTGCAAGCCAAATTTCGCCAGTTGACGGCGGGTGCGTTCGCTCGCTATATATGGTATGCATACATCTTACATAATGATGCACATCGAGCTAAGCTGCTGTTCTGCCTGCACAGCAGGCCTAGGGCCAATAATACCCGCTTGAGCGTTAAATGATAAATGGGCTTTAATAGCAATGCTTACGCAAAATTGTTACACGTAACCTTCTGCTGCCCAAAACCATCGTCACGTAAGGTGTAGTTAGGGTAACCCAATGCGTACGTGCGTCCGCTCGGGTGTGGTTGGCTCGGGTGCACAAGAAAGAGAGCCAACCAGAAGTCAAAGAATCCCAGCAGCTTGAAGCAGAGCGGTGGAGGGGCAACGAGTGCGCGGTGCGTGTTTTTCCTTCAGATCGTAGCCTAGGCCTGCAAATGGGAGCAGCTCATAAGTACCTTATTAAGTTGTAATAACGTATCGTTTTGCTGAACCTCGCTACTGTTAAGCCTTACCAAAAGCCGCCACCTGTGGTGCATACATATATCTTTGGGTTTGGCACTACTGGTAAGGCGCGACCACTGCCCCCGGGAGATCCTGGGGTCGATACCCGTTAGGGTCAAAGTCCTTCCGAAGGTGGAAGGCATAGCGCCTCTAGTTGATGGACGGTGGTGACCTGGGATGAAGTTAACCTGCGAGCCGACCAGGAACGGAGTTGGGCCCGCTGTCGACCCTGCAGATTCCGTTGGATGCTGGTGGTGGGTGCGGAACCTGAGCGATCCACTGAGAAGTTGACTAGGGTGACTGGATGAGGGTGCCCCGAAATACCGGGGAAGGCAGGGTTTCGCAGGGTAGCTGCCACGGGCGAAGATACACCCCCCTGTTTCACACATCATATATCTCTTCATCTGCCTCATCGGGTCTTCCGAGGGATCAACTGTCCCGTTGCTTCATGGCCTACCTTCTATTGTTCACTGAAATGTAGGAAATATTGAAGTTCCCCGGCCACAACATGCAGAAATGAGTTATAATAAGCGAAACGCCCGAAACGCTTCATGTGCACGTCAACGTCGGCAGTTGCTTTGCTCGTCCGTACCGTTACGCTTAATTAACCGGATATAAATAGTTGTAGGTATAGGACGTTACCTTCATGTACATGTTTTTCAACCCTGGATCGACAAGGTGTATGAATGGGGGTCGCAAAACGTCTAGACGCCAACCCTCCATGCCGCCAACCCTATATCCCCAGCATCCCCATGGCCCCCATGGATACTTCCGCTTTGCTTTCCAAGCTTGCGGCTCCAGCAACGATGCCCAGCAGCTGCATCGAAGTTCGGCATCAGCGATGCACGGCGCCAGCGATGGTATCTAGCGCCAGTAGACATGTCAACCGCCAGTAGCGATGCCCAGCACCAGATAGAAGCGGAGACCAACGCGACCTCGGGCCACCGCGCCCTAAAACCCTAAAACCCAAACGGCGTGCCCGAGCAGCATACGATGCAGAGAGAATGCGTGAGTTCGTGGCTAGGTGCAGGCACGACCAGCGCGCATTATGGCGGGCATTGGGAGGGCAACTCAGAAAGCGTTGCGCAATTGATGACTTGCATGTATATTTGGAACACTTCGTCACCTTGGAGTTGGGGAGGCGGGTGTTGAAGGTGCACATCGGCTCCTTTACTATATCTCGTTTTTGGGGGCTCCTTTGGGAGAGGATGCATGGCAAGCATTTGTCGGACTGCTATGGACAGGAGGGCACGGGGTCCTCCGTGTCCGGGACCGCCTTCAAAAGCAAGTGGGCTCATGCAGTCTTACGGCAGGAGATAACCGATGCTCTGACCAATCCAGAATGCGAGGGTTGGGGAACCTTGATGTTACGACTATTTTCCTTCTTGGCGTGCAATATTTGGAGCGGAATACCGCAAGAAGTCGTGGGGGTAAAGCAGCGTGTTGACTGGTTGCTAAGTAGGCCTCTCCCCAACTGCTACTGCCGCTACTGCTGCCAGCCGCCAGCCAAACATGACAGGGAGTACAGATGCTCCTACCGGGAGTACAGATGCTCATGCATATGTGCGGTAAAGTGTACTGCCCACGCTTGCCAGCGCTTCCCGACTCGTCAGCATGACGGGAACGTCGACCAGTCGAGTGGGTCTTCGTCCCCCATGACTGTGACCAGGTCATTCCCCAGCTCTGGCATGCAGGGCAGCATGTCGAAGGAGATTTTGGCCCCCAGGCGGGCGGCCTGAGGTGTCTCCCCCAAAATGCTCACGGTCATTGCGACACGGTCGTCGGCCGACGGGTGCCTCTCGAGGACGAGGAAGAGACTGTCTGAATGGAACATAATGGGTTCAGGCTGTGGCCGTGCGTGCTACTCCTCTGCTGTGCTGGATAGCTGAACAAGATCCCGTAGCTTGGGCCATGCTTTCATGACCGCCAGCTTGGGCCATGCTTTCATGACCGCCAGCTTGGGCCATGCTTTCATGACCGCCAGCTTGGGCCATGCTTTCATGACCGCCAGCTTGGGCCATGCTTTCATGACCGCCAGCTTGGGCCATGCTTTCATGACCGCCAGCTTGGGCCATGCTTTCATGACCGCCAGCTTGGGCCATGCTTTCATGACCGCCAGCTTGGGCCATGCTTTCATGACCGCCAGCTTGGGCCATGCTTTCATGACCGCCAGCTTGGGCCATGCTTTCATGACCGCCAGCTTGGGCCATGCTTTCATGACCGCCAGTACTTCAGGTAGCCCAGCGAGGAGTTGCCGAAGTAGCAGCAAAACCTGTAGGATCTAGGGCATCACCACAGAAAACGGTGCCAAGCAGTTCTTGATCTCAGGTATATTTTTTCTGAGATCCTCCGTTTCGCCATCCTTTAAGTAGATACTGGTGTGACGTCACTCGTCAGGCAGCCATTTCTTGCCATTCACGTATCCTTTGTACGTCACGTTCTTATGGCGTGGAGAGGAGTTCTTTGTCCTTGTTTGGAGTGCTTGGAGTGCTTGGAGTCACTGCAGCATTCTGGGCTATATTTGCAAGGCTATACTTGCACCAGTACTTCGTTAAATCTGGCGGCTTCCCGTTCCCTCAGAGGGTTGCAAAGGGGGTCTAATCCCCCAATCCTGGGGGTGGGTACTGGTCAGCCATCCTCCCATCCTGGCGGGGGCAACCATCCCCCATCCCCCATCTTAAGGGCCGGCGCTAATCCCATCACTCAGACAGGGTTCCCATTCTGCCCGCCAGGGCCCCATCCCCAATCCCTTCGGCCAGAGTCATCCCCATCCTGCAAAACGGGTCAGATGCTTCAGCTTTTTTTATCACAGCTCCAAGACCAATAGGCGTTTCACAATATCAGCTTCGTAGAGGGAACGGGAAGCTGACCGGACGGAAGAGTAGGCGACGGAAGAGTAGGCGACGGAAGAGTAGGCAGCGGAAGAGTAAATCAATTTTGTGATTATTACAGATATAGATTAGTTAGCTTCGACTCGCTATCCCATATTTCACAGATGGATTAGGTACGGATTAATCATACGATGCATCGCCATGCTGGCGAACGATAGATGTTCGTGCGCGCGGAAAAGTAAATATGAAGGCATAACTATTTTATTAGTGTGTTTGTAAATTTAGCCAATATCAAGATTGAAAATCAAATGCCAAGTGACAGCTGCGATACACGATGGCCGACGGGTGAAAGTATGCGCCGCTTCACTGCCGCTAAATCCGCGACCACGCGATCCGCCCCTGCTGGTTCCATATTTCAATAAATAAGATGGATAACCTGATCCATGAACGCAATCCAACTGTAAACACTGCCATTGCCTTTGCTGGTGGCGAAACTATGGGCTCGGCAACCCTGGCGACAACCATTCAACCCTAGAGTAATAAACGTGGCATGTATGTGCACCAAACAGCGTGATGTGTCATCTGCCAAAGCCTCCAAGCTCTGTGAGTAGAGGTAGATAGGTCGGTCGGCATGCAGTTTTGATATGTTGAGAACGCGGTTCATGAAGGACGCACGCACGGCCTCAAGGACTTGACGTCCGCAGCTGCTGTCCAGCCGCCACGTCCCCGCTGCGTTTTCGCTTTCCCGTCCGAGCAGACTGAGCAGCAGTGGACCGACGTCACTGCCATGCCTAAGTAAAGCTCCTGCCCATGGCAAGAAGGCCCTGCCTAACGCAGTGCCGCTACAGCTCACCGCATGGCGGTCCTGCGAGTTAAATTGGTTGCCTATAAATGCGGGCATGGCGGTCCGACACTCCCCCACCAGCACGCACACTGCACTCCGCACATCACTGCCCTGTCCGGGTACAGCATGCATACCCCCGGCTAGGACAGGTGCTGCTGTTGACTGACTCAACCGGCTGGTTCCGTCAGCGGGTGCTCGCCAAGCAAGGCCGCCTCTACCTGGGCGCTCTGGGCGGCCTGGGCACCCTGGGGGGTCGGGGGGCCCGGGGGAACTTGGGCACGAAAGGCGCCTTGGGGGGCTTGGGAGCTTTGGGTGCCTTGGCTGGTG